GTGATTGAGTAGGAGGGGAGGGGGAGAGAGAGAGAGAGAGAGAGGAGAGAGAGAGAGAGAGAGAGAGAGAGAGAGAGAGAGAGAGAGAGAGAGAGAGAGAGAGAGAGAGAGAGAGAGAGAAAGGAAATATATTGCTGATCGGAGAAAGGATGGGATAGAAAACAAAGTCTATTGTAGCAAGTGAAAACAAAAAAGGTAAAGAATGAGTGGAGCAAAAGGGAAAAGGGAGAGCGAGGGTGAGATGGGAGAGCGAGGGTGAGATGGGAGAGCGAGGGTGAGATGGGAGAGCGAGGGTGAGATGGGAAAGCGAGGGTAAGATGGGAGAGCGAGGGTAAGATGGGAGAGCGAGGGTGAGATGGGAGCGAGGGTGAAATGGGAGAGAGAGGGTGAGATGGGGAAGAGAGGTTGAGAAGTCTCTCTGAGAGGTCTTATTAATGGAGCTGTGACAGGTAACACCTTGGGCTGGCATTACTTACCACTCGCCTCCAGCATCTCCGCTCACCCACCCATTCACCCACCCAAACACCCGCTCACCCACCCAAACACCCACTCACACATACACAAACACTCGGCTGTTGATATAGTACTACGCAAGAAACTGGGACAAAAACTAGAACATGCAAGAATAAGAGAAGATACTACGATAGATCTAGGAATATTTAAGGGGAAAGAAACAAGGCATGATTATCCGAGAAACGGTGTCGGAATGGGCAGGTATGATGAGTGCAGGTCATACGGATTAGTACTAGGAATGGTACTATTTCCTGTCTGCATCAGCGTTATAGCGGATAATGTTGAACTAGGAAAAATATACATATTCTAGGACCAGAAAACACTACAAATGAACCTGGACAAAGATCGAAAATGGAGGACAGGGCTTATGGGCCAAACGCTGCAAGCCTCGCTCAAGGAGGACCTCCGAGCGAGTATTGTACCGAGCATCATACGCACGTCAGGGAAATTCAAATTAAGCATTCATGAACTTTAACAATGAACCATTAACGATACTATATATGGCATATGTCAGGCCCATCTTGGAGTATGCAGCACCAGTATTTAACTTACACCTGATCAAGCATGCCGTGAAGCTGGAAGAAGCGTAGAGGTTTGCCTTGAGACCAGTCCCAGAGTTGAGGGGTGCAAGTTATGAGGATAAACTAGACCTGATGATATTAAAAGACAGAAGAACCAGGGGTGACATAGTAACGACGTTCAAAATACTGAAAAGAAATGATAGGTGGACAGGGACAGACTGCTTGAGGAAGGAAACATGAACAAACACAAACGAGTAACAGGGACGGAAAGAAATACGTCTTTAGTCTCAGAGTAGTCAAGAACCGAAACGACCGGAACAGAGTAGTTACGGAAGGATCCATATATAGCTGTAAATCAGATATGATGGGGACCACAAAGCTAGAAGAGAACCCAGCTGGGGCCAAGAACTGAGATTCGATCCCTGCAACCACACATACACACACACACGCAGGAAGGCCTTTGACACAGTTCCCCACAAGAGATTAGTGCAGAAGCTGGAGGATAGGCGCATATAACAGGGAGGGCACTGCAATGGATCAGGGAATACCTGACAGGGAGGCAACAACGAGTCATGGTACGTGAAGAGGTATCACAGTGGGCGCCTGTGACGAGCGGGGTCCCACAGGAGTCAGTTCTAGGACCAGTGCTATTTTTGATATATGCGAACGACATGATGGAAGGAATAGACTCTGAAGTGTCCCTATTCGCAGATGATGTGAAGTTGATAAGAAGAATTAAATCGGATGAGGATGAGGCAGGACTGCAAAGAGACCTGAACAGGCTGGATATGTGGTCTAGAAACTAGCTTCTCGAATTCAACCCTGCCAAATGCAAAGTCATGTAGATTGGGGAGGGGCAAAGAAGACCGCAGACAGAGTATAGGCTAGGTGGACAAAGACTACAGACCTCACTCAGGGAGAAAGACCTTGGGGTGACCATAACACCGAGCACGTCACCAAAGGCACATATCAACCAAATAACTGCTGCAGCATACGGCGCCTGGCAAACCTGAGAATAGCGTTCTGATACCTTAATAGGAATCGTTCAAGACACTGTACATTGTGTATGTTAGGCCCATACTGGAGTATGCAGCACCAGTCTGGAACTCACACCTGATCAAGCACGTCAAGAAGTTAGAGAAAGTACAAAGGTTTGCAACAAGGCTAGTCCCAGAGCTCAGGGGAATGTACGAGGAAAGGTTGAGGGAAATCGGACTGACGACACTGGAGGACAGAAGGGTCAGGGGAGACATGATAACGACATACAAGATACTGTGCGGAATAGACAAGGTGGACAGAGATAGGATGTTCCAGAGAGGGGGCACAGAAACAAGGGGTCACAACTGGAAGCTGAAGACTCAGACGAGTCACAGGGACGTTAGGAAGTATTTCTTCAGTCATAGAGTCGTCAGGAAGTGGAATAGCCTAGCAAGTGAAGTAGTGGAGGCAGGAACCATACATAGTTTTAAGAAGAGGTATGACAAAGCTCAGGAAGCAGAGAGGGAGAGGACTTAGTAGCGATCAGTGAAGAGGCGGGGCCAGGAGCTGAGTCTCGACCCCTGCAACCACAATTAGGGGAGTACAACACACACACACACACACACACACACACACACACACACACACACAACACAACACAACACAAATACACACACACAAATACACACACACAAATACACACACGCAAATACACACACAAATACACACACACAAATACACACACATAAATACACACACACAAATACATACAATTACACACACAATTACACACAAATACACACACACAAATACATACGCACAAATACACATGCAAAGGTTTGCAACAAGAGTAGTCCCAGAGCTACGGGGATTGTCCTACGAAGAAAGGTTAAGGGAAATTGGCCTGACGACACTGGAGGACAGGAGGGTCTGGGGAGACATGATAACGACATATAAAATACTGCGCGGAATAGACAAGGTGGACAAAAACAGGATGTTCCAGAAATGGGACACACAAACAAGGGGTTACAAATGAAAGAGTAAGACTCAGACGAGTCAAAGGGATGTTAGGAAGTATTTCTTCAGTCACAGAGTTGTCAGGTAGTGGAATAGCCTAGCAAGTCACGTAGTGGAGGCGGGAACCATACATAGATTTAAGACGAGGTATGATAAAGCTCAGGGAGCAGGGAGAGAGAGGGAACCCAGTAGCAATCGGTGAAGAGGCGGGGCCAGGAGCTATGACTCGACCCCTGCAACCACAAATAGGTGAGTACACACACACCTATATACAATCATTTGCTTCGTACACTGCGTCCGCAATCAGTAAAATGAAAAAGAGTAAGTGCACACAACTGTAGTGTCAATATAACGAACAAATACAATATAACTCCAACTACAAGCTTTTGTTTACATTCTGGGGAGCACGTGAGCCACCTTTATTTACACGTGTGACTACGTGCCGAGTGTGGGGAACCGTGTGGCTGACACTTTAAACTTAACGTAAACAGCTGGAGCATCAGTGTCAGCTAGAACCCTTTTTACCTTCTTTCAATTAACATATCAAGGAAATTTCCATAAGCCGTATTTATGTATGTATTTATCTATTGCTCTTATTTTCTGAGTTTCCAATATGAAAACAAATAATTTACAGAACTGAGTGTCAAACCTTGATACTCTTGCTCAAAGAAGACTGTCCTACTTCGCTTATCTCTTTAATCCAGGGATTCTCAAACCAAGACTGGCGAACCGAACTTGGATGGCGAGTACCTTCGTATAGGCCGTGGATAGTCCTTAGCCCGAAAGTGAAAAAAACAGTAAATTTTTAATTCTAACAATAAGAAAATAAAGAAGGACCACCAAGAGAAGAAAAAATAATGAAAAACGATTGCATATTTTTTCTGTTTTCTTTAACATTATGATTTAAATCTATGGCAATCTACTGGGGTCCCAAGAAAGTTCCGGTATCATTTAGGTCGCTAGGCGAATGTGATTTCAAATATGGTTTTTAATATGGGTTGCGCAAAACGTTTGTAAGCTACTGCTTTAACCATTCCATCAGCCTTGAAGCCTCTAAACTACACACACTTAAGACAATGTAAAGTCATCCAGTCCTTTACCCTTATCCTCCATCAATTGCTTTCTTACTCCAAGCGGTATTTGCATATCCTCAGCCATCTAAAACTTCCTGGTAGAGAACTGCGTGAGAATAGCAACTGTCAGACGGAGCCTCGAGCCTCCATATCTTCTTAAGGTCAGTGACCTACACGTTTTGGCATTTTATATAAAATTAGTTTCAGCCACTTCAGCCATCTGAAGAAAGCTGCTGCATGATCTATCACGAAACACTTGACGTGGATTCCATCTCCGTTGCACCCCATTACAGCACCCATTAAGCACCTTGCTGATGCCTCACTCTGAAACCAGACCAGATGTTGAGGGGTAAACCTTCGTCTGGTGAACATGTGTTTCAGGGACGGTGATGGTATGTGACAGGGAAGTACCACATGGCGGAGATGAGAAAGAAAAAAATATTCTCGTAATGGTGTTGGTAATAACGGTGTTAGTGTTACTGGTGACAGGGTAGAAGCTAATGAGAGCAGTGACAATACTGTTGGTGTTGATTAAGACAGAGATATTACTGGTAATGTCGTTGATGTGATAGGAAGCCAACAATCGGCTTGCTGAAGTTGATCCTATTCAAGGAAGTAGGGATGTCTATGCAGACACCCAATTCAGTTACTAAACAGACACAACAGTAATTAACCAGAGTGACAGCACATCTTTTCCAGAAGTCACGTTGCACGAATTGTAGATCTTCTTACGATACGAAACGAGAAGGGAAAACTATACGTAAATTAATCATCTTTTTTACGATAGCAATTTTAGGAAAAAACAAAATACAACCTTCGGAAAAGAGCAGCTGCGCGCATACCTTCCACTGGATATAAATCTTAAAAAAAAAAAAAAAGGTATAAATGGAGTACTCACCTGGAGGATGCTCTTGTCAAGGGAGGCGAGGATGAGGACAGGCGAGGAGTCTGGTGCATGGCGTGGGGGGGAGACGAGGGGCGAGGGAGCCCGCAACCCACCCTCAGCGCTCAACACGCTCTCTGTCACAACACAACATAATAATGTTACAACAGGGCTATACAGAATGTAATAATAGTACAATGCGACAACAGTATACCCTACGACTCCTCGCCATTCCTTAGTGTCAGTGAAAAAAAAAAACTAGGAATTAAACACAAAGGTTATATATATATATATATATATATATATATATATATATATATATATATATATATATATATATATATATAATATATATATATATATATAATTTACACAGCTCCTGATGACACTGAAAAGTGTGAAAGTACTTTTCAGCTAAAGATTTCCAACCCCCCGTGGCTTGTCATATATATATATATATATATATATATATATATATATATATATATATATATATATATTATATATATATTATATATATATATATATACTTTCGATAAGCTCAATGTAATTTTTAAATGTAAATGCAGGCTGCTAACACATCCACTCATAATACATACATCTTAATTTCCTCCATATTCATTTTCTCCATTCTGAATCTCAGCATTTTATTCGTTACATTTCAACTTTCTCTTATTATTTTGCTTTACTGTGTATAACGTTCAGCTGTCATGTTTTGCACAGCCTTCCAGACTTAACCACCAACTTATGTACTTAAAAAGAATAAAAAGGCACAATACAGTGACTGGAACAATACACAAATAACCCACACACAGGAGAATGAAACTTACGACAACGTTTCGATCCGATTGGACAATTAACTAGTCACACAGGTAATGGTCCAAGTCGGACCGAAACGTCGCCATAAGCTTCATTCTCCTATGTGAGGATTATGTGTGTATTATATAACTTATCTTCTCAATCTCCCAGCAGCTAAACACTCACTATGAAACGTGATTATAACGGAATAAACAGAAAAATTTTACCCCAACTTTTTTTTAAACAATCGGGGTTTCCCACCAAGGCAGGGTGGCCCGAAAAAGAAAAAAAAATCATCATTCACTCCATCACTGTCTTGCCAGAGGTATGCTTACACTACAGTTATAAAACTGCAACATTAACACCACCTTCAAAGTGCCGGCACTGTACTTCTCATCTCCAGGAATCAAGTCCGGCCTGCTGGTTTCCCTGAATCCCTTCGTAAATGTTACCTTATTTACACTCCAACAGCACGTCAAGTCCTAAAAAACCATTTGTCTCCATTCGCTCCTATCTTACACGCTCACGCACGCTTGCTGAAAGTCCAAGCCCCTCGCACATAAAACTTCTTTTACCCTCTCCCTCCAACCTTTCCGAGGCTGACCCCTACCCCGCCTTCCCTCCACTACAGATTTATACACTCTCGAAGCCATTCTATTTCGTTCCACCCTCTCTACATGTCCAAACCATCTCAATAACCTCTCCTCAGCCCTCTGGATAATAGTTTTAGTAATCCCACACCACTTCCTAATCTCCAAACTACGGATTCTCTGCATTATATTCACACCGCACATTGCCCTTAGACATGACATCTCCACTGTCTCCAGCCTTCTCCTTGTTGCAATATTCACAACCCATGCCTCACACCCATACAAGAGCGTTGGTATAACTATACTCTCATACATTCCTCTCTTTGCTTTCATAGATAAATTTCTTTGTCTCCACAGACTCCTCAGTGCACCACTCACTTTTTTTACCTCGTCAATTCTATGATTCACCTCATCCTTCATAGACCCATCTGCTGACACTCCCAAATATCTGTACACATTCACCTCCTTCATACTCTCTCCCTCCAATCTGATTTCCAATCTTCTGTTACCAAAGTTTTTTATCCTCATCACCTTACTCTTTCCTATATTCACTTCTAATTTCCTTCTTTTACATACCCTAGCAAACCCATCAACCAACCTCTGCAACTTCTCTTCAGAATCTCCCAAAAGCACAGTGTCATCAGCAAAGAGCAACTGTGACAACTCCCATCTTTTAACTCTTTATCTTTTAACCCCACACCTCTTGCCAACGCCCAAGCATTCACTTCTCTTGCAACTCCATCTACAAATATATTGAACAACCATGGTGACATCACACATCCTTGTCTAAGGTCTACTTTTACTGGGAAATAATCTCCCTCTCTCCTACATACTGTAACCTGAGCGTCACTATCCTCGTAAAAACTTTTCACAGCTTTCAATAACCTACTTCCTATTCCATACATCTGCAACATCTACTACACCCCCCCCCTATCCACCCTATCATATGCCTTTTCCAAATCCATAAATGCCACAAAAACCTCTTTACCCTTATCTGAATACTATTCACCTATATGTTTCACTGCAAACACTTGGTCTACACCACCCCCCTTCCTAAAGCGTCCTTGTTCATCAACTTTTTTGTTTGCCAAAAATTTAAAAACTTAGAAAATAAAGTGTTCAACCTGAGGTACAGAATTAATATCTGAAAACGAGAACATGCTCACCTTTTAGCTAAACCCTCGAAAAATATACCCAAGTTGTACTTACCCCTCAACCCGACCCATAAAATATACAGCCAGACTGCACTCACCCTCAAACTTGATGACATCCTGGATGACGGATGTGACACTTGAGGTGACGGTAGTGCCGGTGGCGTGGACACTGGTCTCCGTCCTCGATGCCGCCAACTTGCCCTCCTTCGCCGACTTCACCGCCATCTCCTGGTCAACCTTCTGCCTGCTTCCAGCCACGTAGGGTGGAGGAGGCGTCTGGAAGGTCGGGGAGGTCAGTGTGGGCGTGATGGCTGCTGCTCCAGCCTCGGACACTTGCCCCTGGAGAGCCTTCAGCCGGGACTCTATGGTGTTCATGCGGTTCTGGGGACGAAAGTGAGCGTAGGAGAAGAGGTTCAGACTGGTCATGTCTAGCAGCGACGTCTGTGTGGTGGCCGTCGCGAACTTCTTAGTCGTGCCCAAGTTTTTACCCTCCATACTGGCATCGAATTTTAGTTCCATGATGCGAAAAAGCCAACCGGATTTAGATGATAATATCTTCCTCTAGTACTAGTGCTTCCTAAACACTGAACCTATTTAGATTTACTTTTTCCACAATATCTCCTTTTTTTTTTTTAAATGGAGCATTTTCTTCAACATTAAGTGTTCCTACAATATAAGATGACATTCATAGCAAGAGTTCAGAAGTATTATAATTTAACTTGACTCACGAAATCGTAATGACACGATTGCAAACAAACCATACCACGGGCGGGATTGAACGCGACGGTCTGGAGTTTTGAGACTCTCTGACCGCGGGTTCAATCCCGCCCCGTGGTATGGTTCATTATAATTTAACATGGGACTAAGTCTACATGGATCCTGGCGCCTAAAAACACGAAGTCTAAACATTTTTTTGTTCAAAACATGTTGCACAACAAACTTTTATTGTGGGTATCGTTTTGCTCTGTTAGAACCTTATCTCTGTCCGAACATTATCAAGTTTAAAATAGCAAAACTTTGTCCTGATAAAAGTTTTTTCTTCAGTGCCCCATTCGGATCCACGGATCCTAGTAGCTAAATGAACACATGAGGAAAGTCTACAAGAACACTGGGGGGTTAAAAGCACATGGCAACCTTCTATTTATTTCAGTATTTTGCACCTCTCTTAGTCTTTCTATCTTTCCTTAAATCTTCCAACCCCTTTCTTCAAGTTCCTCTCTACGTATCTTGTCTTCTCATGCTTCCTTCATTTCATCTTATTTAGTCTTCCACTATCTCTGACAGAATCTCCACCTCCATCTATACTCCATCCCCCACTGTATCTGCATAAACACTCCCTCCCTGGCTCTACCTCCATCTACACTCCTCCTGACTCACATTCCCACCATCCCTCAATCGTGTGTAATGTCTCGCCAAGACATTTTTAGCTCCTCTCTCCACCCTCACATGTGTTTCTCTTGCCTCTGTTCCCTCCCTCCTCTAGCAAGCCTCAGCGGGCAACCACACGGACATGAACCCCATAAAAACGAGAATTGTTTCGGTCGCACACCGATCGAAAGGTGTTCCCATATCACATAAGCCCAGTTCCCTCTACCTCAAGGCAAGTAAGTCGATCATAAAATTCTAACAAAGCAAAAAAATAAAAATATGTATGTGTGTATGTATGCGCATGTATACCGTTGTGTATGTAAGCTAGCGTATATATCTGCATATGTTGTGTATGAATGGCATACGATACCGACAAGATGAAAGTTAAAACACATGTGTAACATCTGGGTATCTTTATTGTAGACGTTTCGCCATCCAGTGGCTTTATCAATACAACAAAGATACCCAGATGTTGGACATATGTCTTAATTTTCATCTTGTCGGTACCGTGTACCATTCATGTACAACTTGGCAGACACTGCAACAACATGAAATCTTGGTTCAGAGGGCAACTACATAACCTTCTTCACGGCTGCTACTACCACTAACCCATCCCTTGGGTATGACCTACTCCCACTGGGAAATCCCGCCTACCAGTGACTATGCCCTCGTCTGCTACCCGTTCCTTTCCACCTGACGCCAGTATATAAGCGTTAGCGTTCTTGCCTGTGCTCCAGAATCTTCACGACTACGGTGCTCTTCACACCAACGTCATCTTTTGTATATAATTCTACTGTCTTCTATTCATGTCCTTAACTTTGTATTGATAGTCACTGGATGGCGAAACATCTATAATAAAGATACCCAATGTTGCACATGTATCTTAATTTTCATCTGCATATGTATACATATGTGTATGTATGTGTACATGTATGTATGATTGTTCATATGTATGCATGTGGATGCGTTTGTATACATATTTATACATGTGTTCCTGTGTACCATGTATACATGCACTTATGTATGCATATATATATATATATATATATATAATATATATATTATATAATATATATATAATATATATATATATATATATATACATGAATGTATTCGTGTGCACGAGTATATGTGTGCATGCTAGAACGAGACTAGAGATGAAGTTTTATGACTTAAATATAACCTTGTGATATGGCAGGACTGCCGACAAGTATAGTAATGGAACATTATTTGTGGATATAAACCTTTATTTTAAGAACAACTCGCTCTAACGTGGGCTTCAAGTCAACACAAAGCTAACAAAAACAATATACAAGCAGCGACTTATCCTTTCAACTGGTGAAGTGGCCGACCGAAAGTCCAATACTCTTCACAAGTGATAACACTGCAGCTGTCACCTTTAAAATCATAATTAGATATTTGACCAGACCCACGACCCGCAGACAATACTGACGTCGTCGTCTACAGAATTACCTGTAGTGGGTGTGATAAAGTATACATTGTTGAGACTGCATCGAACCTTCTCGCACGTGTCCCTGAACACAAATACTCCTTTAAGACACACAGCAAGAATAACACTTGCGTCACTCAGCAGGGATAAACAGGCTCATAGACTAGACAAGAGAAAAACAGGACAAGACGGCGTTCAGAGGCTGCACACATAAAACCTTTCAATGACATCAAATAGAACCAAGGGATACTGAGCATCGCAAAACCTCTAGCTATAATCATAAAAAAACTCTCCAAAACATTATGCAGATGACCCAGCAACCTGACATCACCACACTGTCATCCATTGCCTGACTACGCCTAGCTTCATCTTCTCTTTGTGTATATTTTATAATGTCGCTTGTACCATATACTAACTTGATAAAGCCCCTGTGTGGGCGAAATGTTGTCTTTAAAACAAAGGTTTTGTTTGCAAATAGTATTTTATTACCATGCCCTACAACAAAAACAAGTACAAAGTAAACAAGCAGCTTTAACAAATCTTCGCGAAGCAAAATAAAAACAAAACATATGAGCCCATTCTTCTCTCCGGGAACCTTGGCAGAGCTTCATCCTTGTAGAAAATCACACTTAATACGTTTTAGAGACAACATTCACCACGTTCATCCTCCGCCAACCCCCGACTCGTGTGAATATTTATGAGACCACCGCCAAAACTACCGACCATCACCATCGCCACCGACCGTCACTAGCACCACTGACCATCACCAGTACACCGAAGAGCTGAGCAACACCGGCCACCACCATCACTGACCAAGAAACGGGGACCAAGGGTCCTGCAGCAGGAGCCAGTCAGCTTTCCCCTAAGTTGGTAATTAATAACCAGGCTGGGCTTCAACAAGGATGTGGTTACTACTGCCAACATCACCAAAGATACTCTGCCAGTCTTCCCAACCTGTACCTTACTAAAAGGGCAAGCACACTGAGAAAATGGGGTAAGAGAAAGAATGAGGAGAGAAGAGAGGGCGTACAAGCAGATGCACTAATCCTGAGAATGAATTTTACGCATACGTTCATGTATTATAGATATGCTTTATTCAGACAAGCATGCATACGTATGTGCACATACATTCGTAGACTTAATTATATACACCCATATGCATGCTGCTTCAGTTATCTCAAAAGGCAATGAGCTGAATTCAATATAACCTCTTAAAGCTACTGGACCAGAACTGTGTACAACGTGACTAATTAATAGTTTCAGTGGACCAAGATCAAGGACACATCATAAGGTCAAATGACCTCGATTTCTGTTTTATTTATATGATATAATTACTGGCTCGTGTACTTTTATTTGAAGCTAAACTTGCGAATGTGATAACTGTAACTCTCTCTCATTCTCACATTCGTTCACACACTTCCTCTTCTAAGTGCGGGTTTTTGGTGAATCACTCGCTCAAATTCCCTCTCAAATTTATTCACTCAAACTCCCACTCACTCACATGCTCACCCTCACATTTACACTTTCCCACTCACTCACTCACACTCAAAATATATTAATTCACTGACATTCATTCTCACACCACTCACCTCCCCCTCCAGACAACACACATACATAAACCACACACACACACACACACACACACACACACACACACACACACACACACACACACACACACACACACACACACACACACACACACACACACACAGGTGGGTGTGGGTCAGGTCAGGTAGAGCACTATACATTACGTGTCACACGCAGATTCTACATACACACTCATACACCATAACACACAATCCCATCCACTACTTCTCACATACTTAAACCCACACTCATATAGTTCCACACACACACACACACACACACACACACACACACACACATACAAGATACTGCGGGGAATAGACAAGGTGGACAGAGATAGGATGTTCCAGAGAGGGGACACAGGGACAAGGGGTCACAACTGGAAGCTGAAGACTCAGACGAGTCACAGGGACGTTAGGAAGTATTTCTTCAGTCATAGAGTTGTCAGCAAGTGGAATAGCCTAGCAAGTGAAGTAGTGGAGGCAGGAACCATACATAGTTTTAAGAAGAGGTATGACAAAGCTCAGGAAGCAGAGAGAGAGAGGATCCAGTAGCGATCAGTGAAGAGGCGGGGCCAGGAGCTGAGTCTCGACCCCTGCAACCACAATTAGGTGAGTACACACACACACACACACACACATTCCCACATAGACCAACACACGCTCTCTCCCTCCGCACCCACCCCCACCTCTCTCCCACTCCCCACCTGATCCTCCTCTCTCACCCTCCCTCTTTTCCCCCCCTCCTCTCCCTCTTTCCCACCTCTCCCATTCTCTCTTCCCCTTTGCTTCTCCCTCCTCCTCTCTCCCCATATTTCCCCCTCCCCACCTCTCTTCCATTTCACCACTGTCTCCAGATTCCTCATCTGCCTCCCTCCGTCCCCCCCACACAAACTCAAACACATCACAAATAACCACACAGAAATACAGAAGTTTTTCATTCTGTGGCAATCAAAGAAAAAAATGGGTTGCCAGAGAGCAGGATGGAAAAACAGGGGACTGGAGAATGAGTCTGGGAAAGGAGATTGGGTAGCAGAGCTCATGAAATGGGAACATGAGTGGGGAAGGAGGCTAAAAGAGCTTAGCATGAAAATATAGAAGATAGCTGCTGAGAGCAGGAAGTGGGAGATGCAAATCACAGCAGCAGAGGCTAAGATTCAGAGATTAGAAGAGGAACTGAAAAATCTGAAACAGCCAAAAGAACTAGAAAGCAATGCAGGCATGACA